AAGGCTTGGTCTTGTGCAGCCAGAATTAGCCCCTCCGTCCCTTTCTTCAACTTTCCTGCTCTTAGCCATTGCCAGGTCTTCTTGTTATCTGCTTTGCCTGCTAGGTTTTTTGTGTATTGGCCATGTAATACTTTGCCTTGCCATGTCTCTTTTCTGTTCTTCATTGGTCTTTCTCATAGACCAATTTGATTTCTTTGATATTCAGTAAGCCTTCATGTTGTACTAGCTTCAATGCATCTTCTTCACTGTCCTTCAGATATTCTTCCAATGCCCTCTTTTTTCTTCTTCAACTGTCTGCTGAACTTGCAACATTCCACACCCACCTATGCTCCTTTGTAAGTAGAGTCTGTCAATGTCGCTGCATGGATGAAGGGCATGATTATTATTTTTTTCAGACTATCTGTCAATCAATCACTCAATCAACTCAAGGTGGCAAACATACCTAATACTCCTTCCTCCTCCTATTTTCCCCACAACCACCACCCTTTGAGGTGGGTTGGGCTGAGGGAGGGTGACTGTCCCAAAGTCACCCCACCAGCTTTCATGCCTAAGCGGGGCCTAGAACTCACAGTCTCCTGGTTTCTAGGCCAGCACCTTCACCACTACACCATCCTGGCTCTCATATAATTGTGGTGGCCTTGCAATCATGTTCTACTCTGGAAATATACCTGGCAGGATGTTCAGAAAGCAGAATTCTGTAATCAGTATAAAATGTAGCCTTTTCCCCTGCTGCCTAAATAAGTAATATATAAAAATAATAAAATGTAGACAAAATCAGGTACTGATTTTTTTCCCCCCACTCATGTAATTTGCAGAATTTAATCTGTTCCACATGACTGCTGTGGGGCTGAGTAGTTCCATTCTTGGGTGCCTTCTGACTCTTCTGGTTTACACTTATTGCCAGCGGTATCAGCAACAGTCTCATGATGCCACTGTCATTCATCCAGTATCTCCAGCGCCTCTTAACCCCAACATCACTAATCACCTCAACAAGCTGGATAAATATGATTCTGTAGATGCCATTAAGGTAAGAAATCAATAGATGTGTTGTCAAATGCAGATATACATGCTATTGCAAATTACTGTGGGCTGTTTCAGGAGATGCACAGCGTGGAGTCCCAGTGTCACAGGGACCCCCATAGTCCTTCAGGATTCTAATTTTGATGTGGCAGCTGAACAAATTTACTGAATTCACAGAGCTTTTTCAGTGTATGTAGTTTTATTATATTATTTGAATTTTGTTTTGGCTATGTCTGTTTTTGGGAGGGTAGCCTCAGATATTCCATTCAAAGTGTTAAGGGTGGCCCTCAATCCCAAAAAGTAAGTGCAGTCCTGGTTTACACTAAGGAATAGTTTTGATGCCTAGAGCCAGCATTATAACGGATTTTGCTTTTAGGGGTTATGAGGCAGAACTACTTTTGAATTATATGGCAACAGTTTAAAACAGCTTTCACATCCTGATTATACTTGCTGACTTCTAAAACCATCTGTCATGTTATACTGAGTCTGGTATGAAAATTCTATGGCATCTCCAGTGACACTCAAATCTTTAAATTAAGTGACATAATTTATGGTTCCCTCCTCCTCATCTGTTTTATATATTCTACAACATCTATTTGTCACATTATTCAAAATTCATTTGCTCATTCAATTTGCCCAGTATTTTGATAACAAAATATTTGTTTCTAAACTCCTTCCTCTTCTTTTATTTGATTCTTTCCCTTTTTCTTTTTTCATATTCCCAAATGTTGCTTTTCTTTCTTGAGTAAAATCACCACAATCTCTTCTCTTCACTACACCTCATAAATATGCATGTATTTTAATGAGAATTATGTATTTTCTAAACTCTTTTCCTTTTCTTATTCTTTTCCCAGGCATTTAATAAAAATAATCTCATCCTAGAAGAACAAAACAAGTACTTCAATCCACATCTCACCACAAAAGCGTACTCCAATGCCTATTTTACAGATTTGAATCACTACGATGAATATTAAAAAGGCCTTTGCTTAACTTCATATGGGTTCCCAAGATGTGAACCCTATGTGTGAACACCAAATTGTTAATACCATGTTGTTGCCAACTTTAAAACAACAACAACAAAAATTTGATTGTGTAGGTACAATCTTGCAGTACAGACACAACTTTGGTAGTACAATATTTGTATTGTGTAACTACATTGGAGCTATTACAGACAAGAAATGAAACATCTTGCGTAGGACGCTTTAAGGCGGTTGATCCCATTTTGGCTTGCTACCATCCTACTAATTCATCTCTTCAGCTTCTCAGATATGTGTGGGAAGGGCCGTGGACTGCCTACTGGACACAGCATTTTCATTTGTCTAAGAGACAACTGTTCCATGAGTGGGAGGCCAAGAGCGAGAGAGGGAGTGAGAGAAAAGACAACAGATTATTGAATGTAATTGCTCTTAACGGCAGAAGCCTTAAGTACTTCATCCCCCATGCCAGACTGTAGAATTTTGTTCCTAAAAAAACTGGAAGCCTGTACGGCTACGCCATCACTGTTGCAAGCAACTTAGCTGGCAGGTGCCACAGAGGAACAGAAGAACAAGCAACAGAGCGGATCTAGAAATAGGCAGGTATTGTCTGCTTCAGTCTGTCAGGATGGGAGGATTTGTGGAAAATAAACAAGGGCTCATTGAATTCTGCGTGTTACTGGCATAGATGGAATCCTGTACCAAGCAGGAATGCCTGCATCATGGGCACCCCTTTGCAGGCTGTATGTAAGGATCCACCTGGAATGTTCGTTATGATATTCACAAACTCTGTTTTATATTTTTGTTGCATTGAAGTACAAAAAGAAAAGATAAAAGGTACAAAAAGGGAAACCAAACAAACAACAACAACAACATCTTACTATAAGGCATATAAAACCTCAAATAGCTGAGTTTTCAAACTCAGCACTAAACCTTAACTGTATGGCATAATATTGATCAATCTTCTATTACAACTCTAAAGAACCAGGGTGGCATTTTCTTACTATCTTTCAAAAGAGTAATTTGTTTTGCAATACGCTCTGCTCAGTAAATCCATATCTTTTTATATAGTGATGCATTTCAGTTTTGGGGGGGAGATACACACACACACACAGTATATGCATATACACACACACACACACACACATATATTGTGTGTGTGTGTGTGTGTACATATCCACTAAAACTATATTAAACTTAAGGATATTAAACCAAAATGGGATGATAGTGAGACAAGCCCTAAGCGTAAATGTCCCCTCCATCATTTTATATTTCCTGAGTAATGATACTGACAACCAACCCTCTGAGGTGTCCAGTAAACATCAAAAAATAAATATCTGGTTCATTTCTTTTTAAGATTTTTAACAAAACATGCTCTATATACTTTAACACCCTTAAATATTAGTTTGTTAACATGGGTATTCCAACTTTTCCAAAGTTCTTGCAAATAAACAATATCTCCTTTAGCAATCCTCTTTATTTGTCTAAAAAAATATACAATAGGTTTTCAATAATCCAAAATGCATTTGGATCATAATTCAGGAGTTTTAGATGCCGATAACCATTCTGGACCATATTGTGAAATCAAGAGATATTTTAGCTGGATATACTGCTATTCCACATTATTAGACAATATAAATCCCTCTTGTAGTAACTCAAGCGGTTTAAACACTTGGCAAGAAGGTGACTTAAAGTATTAATTGCTATTAGCCTGTAAATTCCAAAATAAAGATTTAATTGGAATATTTAAACAGGATTTATCTCAGAGTGAAGTTTTATGATTTGCATAAAAGTCAAAATTATACTTTCATCCCAACATCTTCCAAATATAGCTTGCAGCTTTAATGCTGGAAAGAGAACTGAATTTTGACTAAAAAATGAACCAAGATCCTGGTAAAGTATCAGTAAGGTAACGTAATACTGGGTGTTTTTTTTTTTTTTTTACATTTGATCACTTGAATTCCATAGAGAAATACAGGTTAAAAGGTATTCCCAGTGATAACCATAATTTAGATGAAGAAAGTCTAGGTGTTGGTTCTTCATGTCAAAACTTTCTGAATAATGTAACAATCAGCTTAAAATACCTTAATGGTGTTAAGATGGAAATTCTTCTAAATACATATATCAGTCTTGTAATATTTATTTTTATAAGAGTTATTTTTCCCAATAAGCTCATTGGGATTCTTAGCCATCTATTTATATCCATAGTGATCAGAGAAACCATGTTTCAATCCACAAAAATCCTTGGGACAATTATTCTAAGATATTTAACACAATTCAAACACCAAAAATAATTGCAATTTTTGATTTTCCATAGTTCCAATACAGCATATAGAAAGTTTATGAGATTTACTCCAATTGATTAACCTGGCAATTTAACAAACTATATCAATACATTTTGTACTTATATCAATAAAGGTTTGGTACAGAACATTTATAATTATCAATTTTATTTATGATAATTGGTTCCAATATTTTGATAAATAGAAAATAAAAGGCATAATTGATGAATTCCCTGAGAATCTTGAAAAATGAGGAAATCCATTTGTAATATCCATGGACCTATCTATTATATGTCTACCATACCAAGGACCTTTTTTCCATCTAATGAGACCATCACTGCCAATTTCAGTTTTTCTGGATGTGTATCTAAAATATCATTTTGTAATCCAAAGCTGGTGGTTGAATTTTGAAATCAGATTGTGCAGGATAGATAATCAAAAGTAATGTTGTCTGTAATCTACATGCCAGGGTTGCTGTCAAAATTTTGGCACCAACATTGTACAAAATCTTGTATGATCAGTAGAATCTTTATCACCTTTCAAAATCACAGTTATATAAGCCTCAGTGAAAAAAACAGGAAAAGCTTAATTCAAAAGAAAGTAATTATAAACCCCAGCACTGTAGGAACAAAAAATTAGTATCTGTCTTATACTACTCAATCCATCAGGAACAGGAGAATTTCCTATTTTCATAGATTTAATTGTGTGTGTGGTTTCCTGTAAGGATAAAGGTGCAGCACAGCTTAAAAAAAAAAAACCCACTTGGTCAAAAGCAGTATTAATTAAAAAAAAAACATTAATTTCCATCTCACGACTTTTAATTCATTGTTATAAAGCAAGTGTAAAGCAATTCCTGATTTCAGAATCATATACCCTAAGCATCAATAGTAAAAATATTTTGTTGTTACCAAGTTTGTCTCCTTGCTCCCAGTATGTTTGATTTATACATTTTAGAGGCAGGATTCAGTAAATAAATCCAATAAATCACTATCCTGTATGTAGTGTATTTTGGTGGGGGGGTACCTTCGAGTCAGTTTTGACTTCTGGTGACTGCCTGGACAAGTCTCTGCAGTTTCAGGAATGGTTTGCCATTGCCTCCTTCCCAGGGCTGAGAGAGAGGGACTGGCCCAGTCACCCAGCTGGCTTTGTGCCTAAGGCAGGACTAGAAGTCACAGTCTCCCTGTTTCTAGTCTGATGCCTTAACCATTACACCAAACTGGCGCTCTCATGTAGTGCATAGAGAGAATTAAGGTCTATTTTAGCAGGCATAAAGTCTTTGTATGGTTCTGGTGTAGGTTATCTAGTATGCATACTCCAAATTCCTTAACTTTCACTTTTGAAGCACTTCCCTTATGCCTTCCTTTCAGTCCACCAAGTCCTGATCTCCCCCCACCCCCCACCAATCTTTGCGACACTTCTCCTCCTCCTAAGCCAAACGGTTTACTCCCTCCAATATTTCTAAGCCATTAGAACTTCATTTGAAAATTATTGTATTTTTTTACACTGATAATTTTTCCAAAGAAATTATGTGTACCCCTCAGGTTTTTTTCCCATGTTCCCCCAGATATATCATCCAGTTGTCAACTCTGCTGTAATGTATTTAAGGTCAACCAGATTAAACTCCAGCATCCATGTTTGAGAACTAATTTTAGTTGAAACAGTATTATGATCCAACAGAGGACACAACATTTTATTGAAATCTCCAGCCATAATTATCCACAACTAAAATAATAATTAAAAAAACCCTTTGTAAAATATTTAGATGGTCCTTAGTAGGTCTATAATAAATACTGAATATAATATGGTTGTCAAAACTTTTAAATGCCAGTATTAAAAAATACCTGGATCACTACAAATTTTGAAGTTTTATTAATTTAAGTTACTCCACCCTGGCAGTTTTTGAATTTTCAATAATAAATACTTGACCAACATATCTTTTGGATAAAATATGTGTAGAAGAATATAGATTGTTTCTTGTTTAAAAATGTTTTAAATTTGGTAAGCAATTGTTTTTAGATGTCCATCTAAGATTTTTTACATTCCATGAAAAAAGACTTAAAAAAAAAATTAAAACATTGGCCAATTAAAAAATTCAGACAATGTGTTTAAGAATTAAAAAGAAAAACATGAAAAATCACAAGTAGAAAAGAAGAAACAAATGAAAAAATGAGTCAGAAAATTTTTAAAGCTAAAAGAAACTAAAGCACCAGAAATAATATAATTGAATGAGATGTGTTGAAAATACATACAAGAACTCTAAAAGAAATGAAAATAAAAATGTTAACTATAAAAACAACTCTGCTACTTCTTCAAATAATCACAGAGCAATGAACTTCTGTATAGCCTCTACTTAAAAAAAAAACAAAAAACTTCACAGCAGAATCTAGAAATAAAAAATATTTGGGAAAAAAATATCATGTTTAATTCCTTGAGCTTGCTGAATGATTCCATTTATGGAAGCCAATCTGGTAAAATAATGATCATCTTTGCATTTTGTTTTGAAGATTCTATTTGTTAAGCTAAATGCAGGATAAGATCCCATACTACACTGTAAATCCTAAGAATCTCATAACAATAAGACTGGTTTTCTCTGCTGAGCACAAATGGAAGCCAACACAATAAGCAGTTTCTGTTTCCAACTTGACTGCAAATCAAGTCTAAACTCTCCATAATTGCTGTAGATTCATCTTGCTCAGTGTTGTCAGGAATGTTTAAAAACGGTGAATTATTTCTACGAAATAGACCTTGTAAACAGGTCACTTCATCTTGAAGATCCTTTCTTTTTTTCAACAGATGGCTTGTGCCTGCCCGCAGATCCATTCCTGCTTTTGCCCTTGCTTTTTCTTAAGAGCACATGGAAAAGCACAAGTGCTTCTATTTTTAATAGCGTTTTAAAAATCAAGCTAAAGGGTAAAATGGTGAAGTGTATTAAGCAAACCATTATAATTTGATGCATCAAGATGTAATCCTCTACTTTTGTGTCAGGGAATAAGCCCAGTGAACTGTTGAAGTGATTTCTGAGTAGACATAAGCATTGTGCTGTACAGTAAGTGAACTTTGTCATCAGGCTAGAGCGTGTAAATAGAGGAAGTGCTTACTTGTTATATAAAACTGATCTTTCTCCTGGCAGATTTAGTATCAGCCTGGGGAAAACAGCAAGCTCTGTTTTGCACCAGTTCACCGCCATGTCACAAGGCAACATTCACAAGGCAACATTATCCATAGTGATATCACTGTCTTTAACAAATAATTTTAACTATTCTGTTCCTGTGAACACAGAGGTTGTATTAAATATGTTGACCAACCAGGGCCAGAAACTGTAAAATAATTTGAGTTTCACTTCCTGAAGGATACATCAAGTAAGAGGCTGCATCTTTTATGTTTATAATCTCTTGGCTGCATGCACTGCGTTTGAAGATCAGTGTCTCAGGTCAACTTTTTTCCTATAATCCAGCTAGCCTGAATTCAACCGTGGGTGGCACCAACCTTTTACCCCAGTGTAAAAGGCCTCCTTCCTAAAAACATGGGGATGATTATTACTCATCAATATTGTCCAAGTGGTTGCAAAGTTACATTTAGATGTGGGGAGACCTACTTTTTGTAGGTTGAACAGGTGAGCAGGGCTGATGGCTGAGGCCACAACTGAAGTGTTATCAGCTCTGTGAGGTAGACCAGACCCAAAAATCAATTCCACAGGAAGACTAGGACTATCCTTATTGGTAGGCCGCAATAACCGAATCTTGCAAGTCTCTGTGCTTTCCTCCCCTCCCTCTTCAATCTCACTGAGTCAGGGAGGGGCTATCCTGAGTCTCTTCTTAATAATATCTTGGTTCCCAGGATTTAAGGTATGTTTTTGTCCTTTCTGCTTACGTAACAGCTTTGAATATTTGCTTCAAGGCACCTTCCTGGCTCTCCACAAATAGAAATTATTATTGTGTCATGGTAAACATAGATGCTACCATAGATTTTGAAATCTTTTGACTGCCTGCAGTTTAACAAGTAAGGATTGTCTAACTCCTACTTCTGTTGCCTAATTCTCTTCTGATCCTACTGACATCTTGGACTTTGTGTAGCAGGGCAGAACCAGGAAGCAGAATCTTCCTTTTCATGAAATAATTGGCTTCATGGAGAGCAGAGAAAATTAGAAATACACAATGGTCTAATGTCAAGAACTGTGGGGGATTAAAGCATCTGACCCCCCTCCTTTATTTTGATTGTATTGTTATCACCTATGGGCCCTTGTGGAAAAGCAGTTGTTACTCTTACTCGTATGTTTTCCTGCCACCATTAGTCCAGCAGGAAAACGGGCAGTATTCACCCATAATCAGAGGCTGCAGAGAACCATC